GAGCGGAGGCCGGGGCCGAATTTTCGGAGCCCACACTGTTATTGTCAGATTTTTAAAGTCAATTGATATAAAAATTATTTCCTATCAGATTATACAGCAACATCTATTAAAATTTCATTCTAACTCGGACAATAAGCTCTAAAATTAAGCATTAAACTAATTTTCAGATGGTTTGCATTCTTTGAAACAAAGCTTGAACTAACTCCAAGAAAAATCCAAACATATAAGAAGCCCAAGCATTTCTGAAAATGATATAGAAAAGGGTATTGAGAGCATGGGCCCGACTTTCTTAGGATCTCTTAAAAAAGGATACAGTGAAATACAGAGATATTGTAAGAAGGTAACTTACAAGGATTTTTGGTCCAGCTAAATTAAGTTTTTAGGTCATTATATTTATATATCTGATTTTCTCTTTTGCAGACCTAGGCCTGTATCATCATCATCATTAGCCAAATTTATAAATAATCACTCTCCTTGTTGGGTGCTTTGTGAGGTATTAACCCTACTTTACGCAAATCTTTCAGCCCAATTTTTATCAAATTGTCAACAATCTAATCTTTTTTCTTTCTAATTCTTTAACATTAATCGTCAATGCCCAACTCATTGGTGCATCTCCTAACACTTGTTATACATGCCAAACCCACCATCCCTCTGATATACTTAATTTTTTAACATATCATTTTTATTTTTGTCATATATTAATCTTGATATTAAAGGATTAATGTCATGATTATTTGACAAGTTTTACGCTGGTTGTCGACTACCTAACACAACCTTCAACTTTTCTCATCCAGGACTTGGGATTTGGTTAGAAAATATTAGAAATGATCTTTCTTTATTATATTTAAATGAGAATTTGACTTTTAACAGAATATAATGGAGAACAAGGATTCATGTAGTTGATCCCACGTAGTGGGACAAAGGCTTGATGTTGTGGTTGTTGTTGTGTAATTCATCTTGATATTCTCATCCTTTTTTCAAGTTCAACTTGTCTATCAAATGGATTCTTTATTGTCTAATTTTTTTTTAAAATATACACATTTATTTCAACATCAGAAAGTCGAGTAGGTGGAAAATTTAAAAAAATAATAAGGAGAAACGAACTTTGCAAGTCAACCTGCACTTACAAAAATTATTTCAATGAGCTCAATCAGCCAAGTTTTATTGCAGAAACACCAATTATATCACCCAAATAAAACTTTGTCAATGATAACCAGTAATTCTAAATCTGATCATACCAAAGGGAAGTTCCGCTAGTGAAGTGGGCTTTGAACGTAAACCACTATCCTTACACCTCTCATTCAAAGCTTTTACCAGTTCATCCAGATCAGTTTGTATTTTCTCGGCACGTTCCTGGAAATAGTTCAAAAATTGCAACTTAGTTTAGGCAGGCGAGAAAAATATTTTGCAACAAAAGAGCATCTAATCAGCTTGCCTGAAGCACACCATCTGACAGTTCACCTTGTTCCATTTTTACAATTGCATTATATAACTCCATCTTTCTCTCCTAAACAAAGACCAAATGAATTGACATCTATGCGGAAAAGGCAAAACAAGCAGATCGAGAAAAAAATGCCAATTTTGAATAAATGTCTTGTACAAGCTGGTACTATATGATACCTGAATATCCCGAAACAAAGACTGATCCAGTGTCAGTTTAGAAGTCACATCTCCTGTCTGCATATACTTTTCCTCATACTTCTTTGCCAACAGCTCAACCTGAGACCACCATTGGTCAGTTATTCTTAAAATGACAGGTATAAAGGGGTTGTTATTAGCTTGCATATCAATGGGATAGATCTAACTTTCAGCAATGGTTTATATCTGAAACAAGTCAAATTAATTCAGAGCAAAGAAGGTAAATATTTTGCATGACTCTGACGCCATAAACTATGACAAACGAAAGTCCATGTAAAAAAAGGTATTTCTAATTGCTTGAGGAACCACTACAGGAGTAAATATTTGAGCCAACAGCATAATACGACTCTAAATGAAAATTGAGTTATTGTAAACACAATGAGTTCAAGTTGAGTTGAAACAGCAGTCTAAAGTAGCACAAAGATCAAATCTGATTTGTGTCAACCTAACAACGCAAACTTAATATGGTATTTTCATGCTTCAAATAAATGCTCAAATCCGACTTCTTATTTTTGCCTTTTTGGAATATACAAATCAGGAGTGTCAATTTCATGTCAGGTTGACATTAATATGACGCAAATCGACAAATTTTCATGTCAAGTAGGGATGTATTTGAGTTCATTGAGTTAATGTTGGCATTTTCAACCGGTTTACAATGAAAGGGGTTGAGTCCGGGCTTTCTCCAGTCATAATATGTCATTTTCAGTTTGAACTCAAACATGACCTGACATGAATTGACACACCTAGGAAATGTTAGCTGGTGAAAAAATGAGGATGTGGGATGTTTGAGTCCAAAATCATGGAAAACCTCATTGTCATTCATGAATTAATTTCATTCATGTCATAAATAAGTTAACATTTCTATCCTCAACTATGCAATGTTTAACACAAAATTGGGTGTCCACCAAGCTAATTAGGTGAATTAAAACTCTAATTTAATGAAATAGGACTCGATTGACTTTGCTTAGTTGGGCATGGTTTGATTAATAGGGCTAATACCCATAATTATTAAATTCAATTTTAAATTGGCATTGCTAAATGCTTAATTAGTTTAATTAAGGTTCATATCCCTAAATTTGGTTTAATTAGCTCTCCTAATTAAAATAATGCACAATTAATGGTGCATTCATGTTTTTAGTTTATTTTGTTTTGATGTAATTTGAACAATATTAGTTGTGTTTTATATATTTTTTTAAGCTATCCAATGATTATGGTAGGAAGTGCTTGGGCATGGCAAGTCTTGGATTTGCTTGCATTTGGTTCCTTCTTGTCCTTGGGCTGCTTGCTGTTCTCGGTTTGGGGCCTTGACTACTCTCGGGTTGGGTTTTGGCTACTTGGTTTTGAGCATAAAAAGTTGGGTTCTACTTTGTGCTAGCTCAATAATGCTTGAGCTAAAGTTTAGCTCATTATTTGGAGTAATTGCACTTCCTAGCTCATAAAATCATAAAGGTATGTAGATTGGAGCTTGTCTCTTCCTATTCTTGAGTCTCTTTGATTTCTTCCTTGTGAGTAAATGCTATGGGTTGTTTGTCTTTTTGTTTCTTCTCCTTGGCCGCTTTCCCGTGACCCCTCTGCCCCGTTTCCTGTGTTGGCTCCTTGGGTCCCTCTCTGGTTGTTTTCCCAAGGCTTGCTGGCTGGGTTTCTCATGGCTTTTCTTATTGTTTTCTGTGTAGAATTTTTTTTGGGGGGGGGGGGGGTATTGTGGTGTCTTTTGGCCTTTCGTTTCCCCAAACCTGATTGGTTTTGGTTGGAGGTGGAATGTCTATTAGGCTACCCTTTTGTCTATATATTTGAGAGGATTTTTGTTATGAAGAGGTTGTTGAATATTTGAGCAAAGTCTCTACTAAAAACCTGAGGGTTTCTTCTCTGGGAAAGGCTTGAGAGCTTGTTCCACCCCCTTTCCTCCTCTCTATTTCATCTTGGCTTCTAACATCTTCTTCTCTACGCAGGTTCCACTCACTTGTATCATTCTTCTTGAGCTCTTAGAAGTTATTTGTTGGCTGATTTTTGGAGACATTTGCCGGAGGCGTTGGTTGGACGTTGGACCCTTTTGCAGTGGTAGACCCTCGATTTGCAAGCCTAAGCACTATTTTCATATATTTTCCTATTCTCGTTGCATGTGAGGAAACCGCTTGACGGTTGTTCTGAGGATAGCATTTTTATGTTTTAATTTTGTTTCGTTTGATTTGACTTTTCATTTATCTGGATGTTTGTTTGGATGTTTGCAAGTTAAAGTGAATCGAGTTTGGTTTTATTTTGTCCTTGTGTTCTCCAACTTAGCTCTTCTTTCTAATTTGCTAACATCAGATTTGGTATCAGAGCAAGTTAGAATATCCTTGATTGGTGAGTCTTTTTCTTTTGAAATCTAAGATGGCTAATAATCCGGGGGATTGGCAAAATTTGATGCAACAGTTAGCAGACTTGCAAATCATATGAATGAAATGGCTAACACTTTTGCTAATCTAAACGTTAACCAACATAATGTCCAAACATCTGAAAGCGAAGAGGAAGTCCCTAGGAATCAAAATAGGCAACAACGAAATTAGGATTTTGGGATTAAAATAGATGTTCATAACTTTGAGGGGAAATTACAACCTGATCTATTCCTCGAATGGATAGATAAAATGGATCAATTCTTTGATTGGAAAGAAATTCCTAAAAACAGAAAGTAAAATTTGCAAGTTTAAAACTCACTGATCATACTCTTACGTGGTGTAAAAACTTACAAAACAATAGACTTAGGTGTGGGAAAGAGAAAATACAAAACTGAAAACGAATGAAAGAAAAAATGAGTAGAAAATTCTTACCATCTGATCACACATGAACTCTTTTTCAAGAATTTAATAATTTGCGACAAGGAACTCAATCTGTGGAAGAATACACTGAAATGTTTTACAAACTTCAATCGAGAAATGACTTAGATGAATCTAAAGAAAAAATTATCTCAAGGTACATCAACGGTCTTAAGTGGACAATCCAAGATCAACTGAATTTGCATCATATTATTAAAATTGACGAGGCTTATCGCATGGTATTAAAAACTTGAAAAGCAACATCAAAGGGAAAGGGGTCACAACAAGATAACGAAAACATATAAACGGCGACCAATTGGCAGGGTAACAAATCAATCTCAAACTTTTGTGGAAACATCGGGTGTATAATTTAAGTCTTTTGAAAATCAAAATGCAGATAAAGGAAAGGGAATTATGGGATTTAAACCTTCTGAACAACCTAAATTAATTGGATCATGCTACAAATGTGGGCTTTATGGTCATCAATATGCGACTTGTAGAAAAAATAACCCACCAATAAACAATTTCATTGAAAACGATGAAGAGATAGAGGAAGAAGAAGAAAATGAACCTGAACCCGAAAATGACATTGAATTAGAGAAAGTTGATGTTGAGGGAGATGAAGGTGAAGAGCTTTTGGTAATACGACAAGTCTTAACAAATAAAATTGACAATGGGGATAGATGGCTTAGAAGAAATATTTTCAAACCAACTTGCACGGTCGAAGGAAAAATTTGCACTCTTATAATAGATAGTGGGAATTCTGGAAACCTTATTTATCAAAAAATTGTTGACAAGCTTAAGATAAAATCCAAACCACTTCCAAATCTAATAAAATCTCTTGGTTTAAGGAAGGGGGTGAGGTTCCAATCACAAAATAATATGTTATTAATTTAACAATTGGAGATTCTTTTAAAGATCAACTTATTTGCGATGCCGTGCCTCTTGAAGTTTGTCACATTTTGTTGGGTCGACCTTGGCAATGTAATAACAAAATCATTCACAACGGAGAAAAGAACACTTATACTTTGATTTAAAATAATGAGTTTACTCTCTATCCTCAAAAACATGTGCCTGATTTGCCAGATAAAAATAATAAGGTTGCCAAAATAAACACTCATGAACTACTTTTGAATGCAAACAATTTGAAAGATTCTGAGGTAGCTAACTTGGATTTGGGAAAGGAAACTGATTATATTCTTCAAATTCATAAAGAAATTCGGCCTTTACTTGATGAGTTTTCTGATACATCACTCAAAGAACTTCCTGTAGGTTTGCCACCGATTACAGATATTTAGCATCATATTGATTAAATACTTGGAGCCACTTTGCCTAACCTTCTTCATTACAGAATGAGTCTAACTGAGCATGCTAAACTTTTTAAGCAAGTGACTGAATTGTTAGAAAATGGTTTGATTAAAGAAAGCTTAAGGCCCTGTGCTGTATCTGCTTTATTAACTCCAAAAAAATGGAACGAAGAGAATGTGTGTGGATAGTATGGCAATAAATAAAATCACCATTAAATATCGATTTCCTATTCCTAGGCTGGATGACATACTAGATATGTTAAGCGGTGCAAAAATCTTTTCCAAAATTAATTTGAGAAGCGGGTATCACCAAATTAGAATAAGACCTAGGGATGAATAGAAAACTGCTTTTAAAACTAAAAAAGGTTTGTATGAATGGCTAGTGATGCCTTTTGGGCTTTCGAATGCTCCGAGCACTTTTATAAGAACTATGAATCATGTTTTGAGATCTTTTATTGGAAAGTTTGTTGTAGTTTATTTCGACGATATTTTGATTTATAGTATTCACCCTTCTGAGCACTTTAATCATGTGAGGCAAGTGTTGCAAACTCTAAGGAAACAAAAGCTGTACATCAATCTTAAAAAATGTTCATTTATGACTTCGAGCTTAACATTTTTGGGGTTGCCTGTTTCTGCTAGAAATTTTGATTCTATTTTTGTAGTTGTGGATCATTTTAGCAAAATGGCACATTTTATTCATTGCAAGAAAACTTCTGATGCCTCATATATTGCTGATTTGTTCTTTAAGAAAATTATTCGTCTTCATGGTATTCCTCGCACTTTTACTTCTGATAGAGATACTAGATTTTTTAATCATTTTTTTAGAACACTTTGGGAAAAATTAGGAACTACTCTTCAATTTTGGCAGTGCATATCATCCACAAACTGATGGGCAAACAGAAGTTGTCAATCGAAGTTTGGGAAATTTATTGAGATGCCTAGTAGGTCAAAAACTATCTTAGTGAGATTTGATATTACCACAAGCTAAATTTGCATACAATAATTCTGTTAATCGCTCCACTAGTAAAACTGATGGGGACATCAGATC